CGCAAGTAAAATTAAGTTTTAAAGGATTACGAGCTTGAGTAGTTAATTAAGTTCACCGTTTTCCATAAATAGCAACTAAAATCTCTAATTGGATACTGTCAAACGTACTATGTTCAACCGTTATAGAAATTTTAATGAGTCCTCTATCTAACTGGCAGTTATGAAATTCGTTGAATAAAATTCATAATACGGATTGTATCGAGCATAACTTAATTCCTATTATTAATCCAGAATTTTCGGGCACTTTTTAGCACACATGGTCACGGAGGGACTGAGGTCTTTGTCGACCTTATGTCATGATAAACGTAGGCTACCTACAAAATTTATACACTAATTCTTGACCCAATCCACGCAAAAGGAGCTTATAGTATCTTGAAGTTTTGAAGTAGTGTCGTAGAGTCGTTTTGTTTAATTTTATTTATTTTGGGAATCCCCGGCAGATGGTAGCACACAATCATCTTCTCTATTAAAATAAGTTTTAAGCTATTGCATAGCTTCTATCGCGGGCCTTGAGTGCGGGAAAATCCAGAAATTTCGTAACGAAAAAAAACTCACGCTCTCCGACGGGCACGGAGGTGTGGCTTGAAGGCCGTGCATTGTCTAACGATGGTCTAACGTCGTTTCTTTTCCTCAGTCTTCGACACGGTGTTTGTGTATAAAGTGTTTTGAAATTTTGAATATGAATGAACAAAGTGCATTTATTATTAATGAAGAAAGTCACGAAAAAATAGTGAAAGAAAATGAGTGAGTACTCTATATACATACCTACATTTTATTATTATCACAAATGCAGTACTAATTTTGAATTGAAAATATAATACTGCTATAAAGATAACCTAAATTTTTGATATTAAAATGAGCGATATTAAAAGTAGCCCTCTTTATATACACACAAACACACACACCCGTATAGTTTAAATTCTCAATTTAGATTCTCAATATGTATATATGTATACTCGATTAACCGGACTAATTGTTGCCAGTTAAAAGGGATTCGGATAATCGAAAATCCGGATGATCGAATGTATGAAGAAAAGCGGGTTTTGTGCATTTGTAGTACATATGTACATACATAATGTTATGTATTTATTAAAAACAACAATTTCAACGAAAATCAATGTTTATTAAGAAATTATTATTTTTTAGGAAACATTGATTAAATTCCATGAAGAGATATAAATCTATATAACCATCCGTTACTTGCGACAAACGAGCCGCCGTCACCTAATTTTTTATTTAACTGTAATGCTTTTTCACAAAGCAAAGGGCCAGATATCATTTGCCCAGTTGATCGTTTTTGTAAAAACCAACAATACAAAGCGTCTTCTAATTGCCAATTTACTCGCGGACATAGGTCCTTATGTCCGGGACGGGGGTTTGTTAGCGCCTGATAGTAGATCGTCTTATCTCAAGCGGTGTGAAGCGACGATTAGTGAGGTGCGGGAGGGGGAGGCTAGCTGCATTTGTGCGCGCGGTCGGTCACCCCTGTTGGCATCGAGCCGAGCTAGGGAGCAGACGGCGGGGCCGGGCTGCACCCGACCCTAGGCCGCTAGGGCGCGCTCCTAGCTAGGCACGCGGCGCCTGCGCCGATGACGTTCTCCGGTCGCATTATAGGGGTCGCGAGAGTTTTTGCGCGAAGCCGGGTTGTTCATATATTGAAAGTCTCCTTGTTTTGTCTTAGACTTATGTTAATAGAGCGTGCCATTTGAATTTAAAGACAATTAATTGGACAATAAATAATAAGTGACAAATCTTGCCGTGGAGCGTGGAACTGAGTAGTTGCGCGTCTTGTTAATATAATTGCCGTACGGCCGCCCTGACGTATGTACTGCGCGAACCTGAGTTTTTTGCGACGCGGTCCGGTGATACAGTATTTTTCACAAATAGTGAGTTCATTATAACGCGGGTTCGGTTAAATCTGGTTGAATTTGATTGGATTAACCTAATGACAATTGACTTAACTATAATTAATGAGTGATAAACGAGCGTAATTTCCTAGACTCTGAAGTTTCTGTGACGGCTTGCCCCTTCGATGGATCCCATACTGGAATAGAGGTGAAGCCTTGGGATCTGCTGTTCGGCAACCAGCGGGAAGTCAGGTTACATAATATAACACGTACTGAGCATAACACTATCACACACATATACTTACACCTGAATCTTCCTAGGTTTGACCCTACGTCGACGAAATAGGTAAGTCTTGTTTGGTTCCTTTTTAACCGCTATTGTCTCATATTCCACAAGCCATTTAGGCCGACCTCCTGTTACTCGTCGAGTTGAACCCCTGGTGGGCCCGGGTTCTACGACCTTTGCCCGGGTAACTAGAGGCCGTAACAATAGCAGAGTAAAAAATTAGAGATTGTGGTGTTTGAAATTTGTCATCTATGAGAGTGAATTTTATCTGTGTACTCTGTAACAAATAACTATATAGAAAAAAATGTGAAAATGACATTTCGCCATTTTTGTTTGTGTACTGGTTAGGAACTCGATCAAAAATTTGATAATTTCTCCGTTTTTATACGTTATTTCTAATGTTGTTTTACATCAAATTAATTGTGGAGATATTTTCTTTAGGAAATATGTATCATTACGACGATTCAAAAACGTTTACATATAATAATTTACCTCGAAATTCACTATACGCGATTATCGTTTATTGATTATATGTTGTTTAAAAAGTATTCTTATCAGTTTTTTTTTGTGTTAAATGGATGCTAAATATAAAAGAATGCTTCAGTATTGATAGCAATTTATTAACGAAATATCTGTTGAGATGTGTCTAGAAATTATTAATACTTATTTTTATTTATTTATTAAAATAATAAATAAATAAAAATAAGTATACATTTATCTATATTGAGTACTAGTTATTCCCCGCGATCTCGCCCGCGTGGAATATGGATTTCATGGGTTTTAATTTTTTTTGCGCGGAACCCTAATTCTTTTTCTAAAACAAAAGTAGTTCAAGTTATTCCTTATATCATCAGCTATCTGCCAGTGAAAGTCCCGTCAAAATAGATCCAGCTGTTTCGGAGATTAGCTGGAACAAACAGACAGACAGACAGACAGACCGACAGACAGACAAAAAATTTAAAAATTGTGTTTTTGTTACTAGTACTTTCATATGCATTTAATAAAAAGCTGTTATTTTAACATTACAAACAGACACTTCAATTTTATTTAGTAGATATAGATATAGATTATTGGTGTCATTTTAAAGGGAATATCATGTACTATTATAATAATAAAATATTTGATAGGACTATGACATCACTAAGGGGAGTGAAATTTTGATATAGGTAAATTCATGTCTTTATCTTGAATTTGATTGCTCAAAAAACACGATAGTATAATTTTGACTCGATCATAATTATTTGCGAAAACACCTCTAAAAAACCACTATAGTTGAAATTACAACGAAATTACTTAATCTATATGCTTCGAAATCACTCAAATATATTCATAACATTAATATTCATAATTTACTTGCTCATTATTTTGATTACTCAAATCAATAATTTTTACAAAAATATTTTAAAGTTTCTGAGAATTTCTAAGCGCTTTTAATCGTCGCGGGCGCTACGCTATTTTAGACCTTATGAGGGCGTTTTTTCAAGTTTTTATAGAAATTATGCATTCACTCGGATCAGTCCGGCGATAGCCCTTTCGAGGTGTCGTCTTAACGCAATTCCTTTGTATAGTGCGACGTTGCCACTCTTATTAGTTATTCCGCTTCGTAATATTTTATTTATAGGTGATATTTTGTTTATGTAGGTATTCGATAGATTCCTATAGTCTGTTTTTTTCGCAGGAGACAAAAATAACAGATCTTTATTAGATTCGTTTAGCCCGAATAATACAGTTTTTATGATTCTGGTTCAGATTAGATTTAATTTTAGACACTTAAGTTTCGTATATTGTTCAAAATAATTAAATAAATCCACAGAATCTGCAGTTACGAAAAAAAGATATATATCATGATTAATTTACCAACTAGTTATTCGTTTACTAAATACGAAAAAATATCTAGGATTCCCCAGCCGTGATACATTACAGATTGACTATATTATCATTTATTTTACTATTGTAAATAAGTACTAATTGTAGATATTGACAGGTTTAATAGAAGTTCATTTTCTTATATTGTGACTAATAACCTAATATGACCTTGGGAAGAAACTCATTTTAATATAAGGTTTTACTGCAATGACTGCCAATAGGTTGTTAATTTCTACAATAGACCGTGGCGTATTGTTGCTGACATGAATAACTCCGAAAATATAATTTATTTACTTGATCGTGTTGAGTTTTTGTGCTCTCACTGCGAGTTTACTTTTTATGATCACTATCTTAAGGAAGAGTGCGAACTATTTACCTAATCTGTACAAAATTACTCTATACTTAACTAGATTCATTTTTGTGAAAGGTTATTTTTGTTAAATTAAGATATTATGTTTGGTTTTGCAGTTATTTGAATTACGTCGTATGACGTCAGATTATCGGTAAAGTTTAATACCGCACGATATTTGACGTCCATATAACCATGAATATATTTATATTTTAATTCCTTGTGTATAACACACGCATTAATGATCATTGATTTAATGACATTTTTCGCTATTGTTTTATTCGTATTTTAGTGTATGGAGGCCATACGGTGTAAAATAGTCAATTTGGTGTTTTATAAAATGTTTCGTTCTAGAAATGATAAAACGCTTAGAAGATTAGAAAACGTGTGTGAAAAATTAAATTGTAATTCAAATAACTGCAAAACCAAACATAATATCATAATTTAACAAAAATAGCCTTTCACAAAAATGAATCTAGTTAAGTTTTGTTTTGGTGTGTCATTACACTATTTATACAAATTATTTATATCTATTATTTATACCTAGATATTTTCGTTTTATAGAGAAGAAAAGCGTAAAGAGCTAAAAAGAAAAAAAAAACTAATGCACGTCAAAGGGCATATTATCAGCGTCAGAAAGATTTGAAGAAAAATGAAGAAAAAAAAACAGTACCAAAATCAAATGCTGAACGTCAAAGGAAATTTCGTCAACATAATGCAGAAAAATCTTACATGGATATGTAATTTGATTTAATAATAATATTTTTTATTTATTTATTTAAAAACAAATTGTAATATATGCTTCAATATTATTTAATTTAACGATTTCATCATTTTTTACAGAAAAAGACGATTGTGCAGTAATGAAGAGAATATCGTGCAATGTAGCGCTGTTGAAAATATAGAAAATGTAACGCTACAAGAAAATCAATTTCACAGCCAACAACTTCATATTTATGAACAGCGTAATGAATGCATTACTCCCGAAGTTATTCTACACAGAAACACAGGAATTCCTGGCGATGGTAATTGTCTATTCCACTCGCTCATAAGTGTTTTGCAACTTCAAATTGAGATTTGTGACTTGAGAAATCAGTTACGCGATTCACCCTATTTAAACTCCTGCCACAATCCGCAAGAAGCATATAACATTCTATCAAGCAGTAATGATTACGGAGATTTGGATTGTTTGTACTTATTCTCAAAAATGTACAATCAAAATATTTGTGTACATTATTGTTTTTACAACATAACTACAACGAATGAAGACACTATCTTTTGTCATTTTAAAGCGAATGATGCACAAAACTGGATTCATCTTCATCTTCGTGAACAACATTTCACACCTTTTTATGAAGTATCAGATTTATTGGAGACAGTACAAGATGCTACCCAAAATGAAGCCCATGTTGATGCCAATATTGAACTATTGCGTGATAATTATGATGAAGATCCTACCGAAGATAACCATAACAATCATGAAAATGAAATTGAGATTGATAGAGAAGATCGAATTGGTGAAAATACTATGGATTTTATTGATGATGGTACTATTCCAGTTTATACAAATTATCGTAAACACAGTACAAGTCATATTGATTTTTATAAAGAATTTACGAGTAATTCATTCGGTCATTCTTGTATTATTTGCGACAGACTATGGTGGAAAGGAGACTTGAAAAAGTCGACCAGTAAACATGAAAGTATTTTGAAAACAATACTGCAGGTAATTTTATTTTTTTAATTATTCACTTTATATTTTTCTTTCTATATCTTGATAATACGAATTTGATTTTTTTTTAGAATTACATACCTGGTGAAATTGTTCAAGTCTGCTCTACGTGTTATACATCTTTGGGAAAAGAAAAAATTCCTCTCATGTCAACCTACAATGGTTTTGCATATCCGAAAATTCCATCACATTTACCAACGTTAAACCTTATCGAGCAACGGTTGATTTCCCCGAGAATACCGTTCATGCAGATTCGTAGACTGAGACACGTTAATGGTCAGTACGGTATTTATGGCCAGATAATTAATGTACCTGTTGAAGTTAATACAATGGTGAAACAATTGCCAAGAAACATTGAAGATGACCATTGCTTTTATGTGCATTTGAAAAAGAAGTTGATTCACAAAACTAGTTATGTCCACGAGCTTATAAATAAGAGCCATATTAAAGAGTGGTTGTCGTATTTAGTATCTACGCCTCTTTATTATTTATCATGACATTAAAATCGATGAATCTTTTTTTCCGACAATGAACGTACTTCGCAATTGAATATGGATGAAATAAGTGAACATGTGCCAATTGAAGACAATTTAGTTGCGCAGCAACAAACTCTTTTGTGGAATGATGATTATTTTTTGAGTATAGCACCCGGTGAATATAACAGGCCAATCAGTATTTTAATGGATGAACATGCGGAAGAACTATCTTTTCCGACAATCTACGGCGATCAGTTTCGAACATACAGAGATGGTGTTATTGTTACTCCATTCATGCAAGCTACCAGCGAACTTCGGCGTACTGATAGGCGTGCTACTGACCCACAACACCTTTTATACATCGCTGCTAAAATCATGAGGTTGAGAGTTAGTAAATGTGTCAACGTTGCGTTTAAAATCATGTTAGACAAGGTACTTCAATTGCGAAAGAGACCATTCAATCTGAAGAATATATAAATAATTGTTTAGAAACAAATCTCGCATTTCTTCGCTGCATACCAAATTCTGCTTGGTTTTGGTCAGATCGCAAAAAAGATGTTTTTGCAATGATTAGGCAATTAGGGCCACCAACTGCTTTTATGACTCTCAGCGCCAATGAAACTGGCTGGGAAAATATGTTGAAATTATTGTACAAATTGAAAAACGAGGGAACGGAACTTTCAGATGAGTTTTTAGCAGAAATGAGTTATGTGCATAAAGCTCAACTTGTGAATGAAGATGCCGTAACTTGTGCTATCTATTTTAATAAAATGGTAAATTGTCTGTTAAAAATTTTGCAATCAAAGAAAAGAAGTCCATTCGGAAAATATAGAGTAATACATTATTTCAAAGGAATAGAATTTCAACATCGTGGTAGCCCACATGCTCATATTCTTCTTTGGTTGGACAATGTTCCTGAAGATTTATTAAGTAATGATCCCGAAGTAATTAAATTAATCGACGAATTAGTTTCTGTGTCAGCGTCAGAGGCGTCTGGAAATATAAAACTAGTAACACACAAGCACTTCACGTGTTATAAAAAAATGGATCCTAATAAAAAACAAGAATGTCGATTTGATGCACCATTTATGTCTACAAAAAAAAACTATTAATTTGATACCTATGAAAAACACTGATCCCGATTACTCAGAAGCACTTTTCAAAGAATATATGGAACGATTTAAATTTATAAAAAATAATCTCGAAAATATTGACTATACGGATTTTAGTTGAATTTTACTCGCATAATGGTATTATTTCTGATGATCATTACTACAATATTATTCGTGCTGGTATCAGTAGACCAAAATTATTCTATAAAAGGACACCAGCAGAAAAATGGCACAACACTTTAAATCTATTCGTCTTACATCATTTGAAATCCAACATGGATTTTCAGATTATACTAGATGAATATGCTTGTGCAACATATGTTGTTGAATATGTCAATAAGCATAATAGAGGGATTAGTAATTTGCAAAGACAAATAATTGACATAATTGACGAGCATCCAGAATTCGACATTGTCGATATCACGAAAAAAATGAGTATTGACATACTTCAGTCTGTTGAAATGCCGGCACAAGAAGCTGCTTGGTATTTATTAAGAGAACCTATGGCTAAGTCATCGGTGGTGTCAGTCTACATTCCAACGGTATTTCCTACTGAACGCGCAAGAATTAGAAAATCTATGAAGGAGCTTGAAGCTTTAGATGATGATTGTACGAACATTTGGAAAGAGAATTGGCTTGATAAATATGAGAAAAGACCTGAAGAACTCCGCGATGTTACGTTAGCACAATTTGTTGCAAAATATTACCTAAATACAAAGGGGACTTACACTAAAAGAGATACTGCAAGAATAATAAGATACAGGAACTACGATATGGCTGACAATTACAACGATTATAGGCGTGAGATGGTTCTGTTGCATGTTCCTTTTCAAAGTGAAGAAAATGATATTATTGCTGAAAATAAGTTCATTCAAATATACGAGGACAACAAAGATACGATATTAGAACGTAGGAAAGAATTTGAATCAAATTTGGACATAGAGAAAACTTTAGAAATTTGTAGACAGTTGTGCCGAGAAAACGATGAAGAACAAGAAGACGAAGAATTATTAAGAGCGGTTGATATATTGCATGTAAGAGATCCTTATGACTTATTGCTACGTGATCCAAACTCAACTGCTAATGTTGATTTACAAAATGCATCTCTGCATAAACTTGGCGCTGTAGCTAAAAAAAAGAGAAAATTTAATGGATTATCAACAATTCTATAATTTAATGCGGATGGCCAATGATCAACAAAGAGATATTCTTATGACTATAATTCATCGTTTACAAACTTCAATTCAAGAACCATTTCAAATTTTTTTTACGGGACCAGCAGGTACGGGAAAATCATTCGTTATCAAACTGATTATGGAAATTTACAATAGGTTCACTGATAATGATGGTTACTGCAATGCCTATATTACATGTGCTTCAACCGGCAAAGCTGCCGTGGCTATTGACGGTACAACTGTTCATACAGCGCTCAAAATTTCTCTTTCAAAACTTTTGCCTCTCTCATCAGAAACGATGCAATTGTATAGATCTCTCTTCAGATATGTCAGAGTACTGATCATTGATGAAATTAGCATGGTTAGTGCAGAACTTCTACATAAAATTGATAATCGTCTTAAACAAATAACAGGCAAAAACGCAGATTTCGGAAGTATAGATGTTATTTTGATCGGAGATTTACGGCAATTGCCACCAGTAAGATCGACACCAATTTACAAGACAATCAGAACGAGCATGATTGGACCGCATTTATGGAGAAAATTAAAATTTTATCAACTCACCACAGTAATGAGACAAGCTAATGTTGCATTTTCACAAGTTTTGACAAAAATAGGTAATGGAGATGTACTAGATGAGCATGAGTTTCAACTTATTGAATCGAGATTTTTCAAAAAAGAGGATGTTGCTACATTATGTCCTGATGGAGTTCGTTTATTTTTTAAAAATGAAGATGTTGCCGCCTATAACAATTTGATTTTGAGCCAATGTGAAAACAAAGTTCTTTCAACGTCCGTAGACGTCATTATTGGCGCTAAAAGTGCTGAGCAAGAAGCTAATTTTAGACTTAAATTACATAAAAAATCTGTTATTGACACTGGAGGACTGCCTTATCACATTACTTTTGTCGTTGGAAAGCATTATGTTATTACAACTAACATCGACGTTACTGATGGTTTGTGCAATGGTGCTGTTGGGAAATTGGTACATCTAGAATTTGATGAAAGTAACACATTAATAAGAGTTTGGCTGGAATTTTGTGATTCAGATAAAGTGGGTAGGAAAAAAAGGCAAAAAGCAGCCGCTCTAGCAGTGCAAAACAGAGTTGGCAATCTCGCTGTTCCCATTGAATTACGAATAGCAAATATTTCATTAACATCGGATAGAAAATGTATAGCCAAACGCAAACATTTTCCATTAACTTCAGCTCTTGCTTTAACTATACATAACTCGCAAGGTGGAACTTTTGACGAAATGGTATATGAGTATAGTAAAGCACATTCTCAGGAACTCGTTTATGTTGCGCTCTCTCGGGTGACTAATATTGAAAAATTGTATATCACGACAAAAAACGATAATTCTACATTCAATTTTTATCATAATCGAAAGCAAGCTGCATCGACTGCATCTTTGTTGCAAGAATTCAAAAGACTCTCTTTAAATAGTGTTTAGACGGTAGCTCAAAGTGTATTAGATTTCATTAGTAATGGAAATGGCATTTCAATAATGACTTTCAACTGCCAAAGTCTAAATAGTCATAAATACGATTTACAAGATTCAGTTACGAGACAAACAAATGTGTTACTTCTTACCGAAACTTGCATGACGCATGATAATCCGATTGAAATACCTAATTTTAATTGTATTGTTCAGTTCAAACGAGATACTGTTCCAAAAGGTGGGGTAGCTTTTTACCAAAATAAAAATGATATTACTAATATTATGACTCCGAATATTGAAATAAATATTGCACACGTTAGCGATGTTAATGTTAGGCGCTCAGTTGTTGGAGATATTTGTGCGTGCCTATGCAAACTTATAAATGGCCTACAAATAGTTATGGTTGCAATTTACATTTCTCCGAATCCAAAATTGGACGAGGTAGAGCATTTTATTCATCGCACTTTACTGGAGTACACTGAAGAAGGGTCGAAAATACTTGGTACAAATGGTAATAAAATTCCACTTATCTTGGCTGGCGATTTCAACATTAACTTCGCGAGCGGTTGACAACTTTTCTATCAAAAACATTGAATTTGAAAATGAATAATAATCCACAAGAGTCCACAACAAAATATGGGACCACCATTGACGCGGTATTTTCTAGGTATTTAGAGGATATTAAGTCGCAAACTTTTGTTTCTTATTTCAGTTATCACAAACCTATAGTGTCAATGATAAATATTCCTGAATAACCAACAGCTACTGTAACAGTCTTATTCATAAAAATCCACTAAAATGGCGTTATAACAGTGATTAGTTAAAATGCTCAATAGTGCTATTAAACCTATTATAAAATTCTCTATTCATAAACGTTCAATAAACCTGTGTTTTCATTAAATCGATTCAAGAAATTGATTTGTTTTATATTCATATATAACTCAATAAAAATAATGGAATAACGTTACATGTAAAAAGCGGCAAAGAAGTGAAAATTGGCTGGAGGAAGATAAGGTTAGTTTGTGACTAAAGTAATTTTCTCATAGGTGATTAGTGCACAAATGTTAGTTAACTGTGTTGTTATAATAGTATCCTTTTTCTTTCCATAGCATTTATTGATGGATTTGGTAAGGGAGCGTGTATCAGTAATTGAAAATAAAAATACTGATACGAATACAAACTCAAAAAAGCTAGCAGCATGGGTAGATTTAGGCATATTTTTGTCTATCAATTTGTGAAGTGTTTGAAGATGAGTCTTCAACGCAATGATATTCTATATACGATCAGTTATATTATTATGCAACGGAAGCATGTAACTTCGTCTCTTGCTGGTCTAATTCATATAAGCTTTTAAAGTCATAACAGTGGGCACAAAAACTAAACACGATGAAGTAAATAAATTATATTTTAGGAGTTATTCATGTCAGCAACAATACGCCACGGTCTATTGTAGAAATTAACAACCCATTGGCAGTCATTGCAGTAAAACCTTATATTAAAATGAGTTTCTTCCCAAGGTCATATTAGGTTATTAGTCACAATATAAGAAAATGAACTTCTATTAAACCTGTCAATATCTACAATTAGTACTTATTTACAATAGTAAAATAAATGATAATATAGTCAATCTGTAATGTATCACGGCTGGGGAATCCTAGATATTTTAAGCTATTGCATAGCTTTTTTTCTTCTATCCGGCCTTGAGCGCGGGGACCGAATCCAGAAATTCCGTAACGAAAAAACCCTCACGCTCCCCACTCCGACGGGCACGGAGGTGTGGCTTGAAGGCCGTGCATTGTCTAACGTATGTTTCTTTTCGGCAGTCTTCGACACGGTGTTTGTGTGCGTGCAACTAGACGTATTGTACGACTCTACGAAGCTCGCACGAATCGAGACGAGCTGCTCCGAAATCGGACGAATACATAAGCAGCTGTTTATGAGAAAGTATATAGGTGTATAGGTATTTATGTACAACAGTGAATAGCTGTACTTGTAAAATTTGTGTATAAAGTGTTTTGAATATGAATGAACAAAGTGCATTTATTATTAACAAACTTATGTTTCTTATTTCAGTTATCACAAACCTATAGTTTCAATGATAAATATTCCTGAATAACCAACAGCTACTGTAAGATAATAAAACCCACATGTATTGTAAAATTATAAAAATATTTTAAACAATATTAACTTTTTATTTATTTAATAAAAAAAATGTTTTCTTATCGGTCACCACGCTCAAAAAGTGTAACTTGAATTAATATCAAAGAAAAAAATACTGCATAAATAAAATAAATAAATAATTATAATTGCATAAGTTGATAACAAATGCTATGCAATAATAGCTTTACCGCGGCAGTCCCCGAGTACCACACGTCTTTTATAATTTCTATGACCTCACGAATCATCCTTGGTAGTAATCGGTGTTCTTTTGCAGAGATTTGTGGTCTATTAAATCTAATGTAATGGTCCGGACGATTCTGAAAATGTTGACATGCTGCAAGTTTAATGTATATTATTCTCGTAAATTTAAAAAATCATTATGATAGAATAAATACTTGTAGGTTCATATGTAGGTAGGTTTTTTACGTGGTTGAGCCATGCTGCAGTTACATTAGTAATGTTACGAGCTTGAGGTTCGTGACAATAAAAATTACCGATAGAATTATCTAAATTAACACTTTAATTCACTTTACACTAATTAAAGTTAAAAACACTAATAATTAATCACACTGATTCACTTTATTCCGCTCCGAAGCTTCGCTTGTCTCGCCAACTTCAATACTTCCCGATCGCATCTTGCAGCGCCTATTTATATAAATTAGCAGCGAAATATCCAGAATATTCAAGTAAACACGCGCAAGGTACCGAGAGTTCGTGTTTCAACTTCATGAAGTTTAGTTCTTCGGTTCGAGACGAGATGGCGCTACTGCCGTCGACTTGAGCGCGTAACACTGCCCCCTCCTAAGACATGCTCGATCCGAGCATTATTGGCCCCATAATAACGCGCCAGGCGATCCACATGGACGATCTTAGGAGTCCCTCTTGCGCCTTTCTGTATCCGGTAGGTTACATCGTTGATCCTGGTCATAATCCGGTACGGGCCGTCCCATTTAACTTGAAGGTTAGGAGATTTCCCTTTGCTGCGGACGGGATTATGCAACCACAGTACCTTAACCTTCGTCGAACCCTTTGTTGTTCATTTTGCGGTCGTACCGGGTTTTCATCTTTTCAGACATTTGCTGGCCCGATTGTCTGACGTGCTCATGAACGTCATTCATTTTGTTCCGCAAGTCATTTGCATAATCGGTTATACTACGTGGAGCATCAGGTGGTATCCCGGTAATCAGGTCTGCAGGCAGCCGTAATTCTCTTCCAAAGTTTGCGAAAGCTGGTGTCACTGCTGTACTTTCGTGAACAGCGCTTCGATATGACAACAAAAACGGTTGTATGTGCTTGTCCCAATCTCGTTGCCGATGCTCTACAACTTTTGCTAGGTACCTCTCCAATGTCTGATTAAATCGTTCTACCATTCCATCAGATTGCGGGTGATAAGAAGTCGTTCTTGTTTTGTGAGTACCCAAAACTCGGAAAGTTTCCTGGAATATTTGAGACTCAAAATTCCTTCCTTGATCGCTGTGAATCTCTGAAGGTACTCCAAAATGACAGAAGACTTCATGAACTAGTTTATCTGCAACTGTTGAAGCTTCTTGATTTGGAATGGCGAAGACTTCTGGCCACTTAGTGAAGTAATCCATCACAATCATGAAATACTTGTTACCGCTTTCACTCACCGGAAACAGCCTCGCCACGTCAATGGCTATTCTCTCATGGTGCACCAACATTGTACAACTTCAATGCACCTCTATTACGAGTCTGAGGTCCCTTTACAGCCGCACAAGTTGTACATTTGCGACACCAGTCCTCGACATTGTTTCGACAGTGGACCCAGTAAAACCGTTTTCGGATCTTCAGTAGAGTTCGTTTAACTCCCGGATGGCCTCCTGAATAATCATTATGGTACAGCTGTAGAACATCCGGTACTGTAGCTTTAGGGACAACCATTTGTAAATGACAGCTGTCTCCCCGAACATTTTCCCATTTACGGCACAGAACTCCATCCTAAAGCAGCAAGCTGTCCCACTGGGCCCAATAGCTTTTAGTGGTCGAACTCATCGCTGAGACGTCGCTCCACTTGGGCTTGAGAGCACTGGCCTTCATCCATTCCAGGATCGGCTTGATGTCCGGATTTTCCTGCTGTACACGTTGTAAGCTGTCCTTCCACTCGTTGCTGAGGTGGTCTGCCATGAGCATCCTCACGGATACCACTTCCTTACTCTCCTGCCTAGTACAATGTTTGCAATCTTCAGGACAAGGTCTTCGTGACAATGCATCTGCGTTGCCATGAGATTTCCCGCTGCGATGTTCGATCTCAAAGTCGTATTCTTGCAGTAGTTCAATCCACCTCGCAACTTGTCCTTCTGGATTTTTAAACTGCAATAGCGATTTTAGTGCAGCATGGTCAGTTCTTAAGCGAAATTTTCGTCCCAGAAGATATTTGCTAAAATGCTGCAACGACTTTACCACAGCTAGCAATTCGCGTCTTGTGACACAATAGTTCCTTTCCGGTTTTGACAACGACTTGCTAAAGTACGGTATCACGACCTCTTGGTCACTATTCCTTTGAGACAACACACCGCCAAGTACTATATGACTTGCGTCTGTGTCAACTATAAATTCTTTGCTTGCTTCAGTGTATCCCAAAATAGGTGTTTTGCACAAACGGTCCTTGAGCTCCTGGTATGCGATATTGCAACTTTCATCCCAGCAGAAATGTCGCTTCTCCTCGGTTAGCTTATGCAGAGGTTTGGCTATATCTGCAAAGTTCTTCACAAATCGCCGGTAATAGGAGCATAAACCCAAAAATGCTCTAACCTGCGTCTTGTCTTTTGGAACCGGCCAATCCTTTATAGCTGCGATCTTCTCTGAATCTGTGCGGATACCTTCTTCCGACACTACATACCCCAAATAGTTGACTTGCCGTTTGAATAGTGAATATTTTTTCGGGCTCAACTTGAGGTTGGCACTCTGAATTTTCATGAGCACGCGTTCCAGGTTTTTAAGGTGTTCCTCAAACGTAAGGCCCACGATGATGATGTCATCCAAGTAGACCAGACAGGCATCGCCAATTAGTCTGGTAAGTACAAGTTCCATCAGCCTTTCAAACGTTGCTGGAGCATTGCACAACCCAAACGGCATTACTTTAAATGGCCACAGACCCTTTCCCGTCGAGAACGCAGTTTTCTCCTTGTCCTTAGGGTCAATTTCAACTTGCCAGTAGCCACTTTTTAGATCCAGCGTGCTAAACCACTTTACTCCTGTAAGCATGTCCAGCGTGTCGTCAATTCTTGGCAAGGGATAGCTGTCCTTCTTAGTAACGTCATTCAGACGGCGGTAATCAACACAAAACCGCATGCTGCCATCCTTCTTCTTTACCAGTACCACGGGTGAACACAATGGACTAGATGAAGGTTCAATAACACCATCCTTCACCATTCCCTCAATCATGGTTT